AGAAGCTATTCTGAACACACAGGAAACAGAGATGAAAAATATATAATCTTTACACCTAAGGACTTAACACAAGATTACAATATAAAATGCCAAGCCATATTCCCCAAGTAAAGAAAGATGTTCCTGGAACACAGAAAAGGGAACGGGACTATGTGAAATTAAATGTTGGTTCCAGGTCTTTAAAGGCTATGAAGACAGTGCTCTGAGGTCAAGCTGGGAGGATAAACAGGAGTGTTAGAAATCAAGGACTTCTTTCATTTAGAGTAATGATTTCTGTTCCATCTGTCATAATTCATTTTCTCTCATGACTGAATGAAATTCCACTGTATATGTACATTGTATTCTCTATCAGTTCATCTGTTGATGAGTACCTCAACCAGTTATGTGTCCTGAGTATTGTGATAGTGCAACGTCACGTCAGGACTCAGAATCCTTTGGATACATACCCAGGAGTGGTCACAAGGTAGCCCTATTTAAAGACAAATACTGCATATTCTATCTCATATGCATAACATAGGTTTGAATGTGTGTGAGCGTGTGTGTGTGTGTGTGTGTGTGTGTGTGTGTGTGTGAGTGTGTGTGATGAGACTAGAAAAGGAACTATAGAGGGAAGGATGAAATAACAAGGATTGAGAGGGTGAAGAAAGGGGACAATAGAATCATGTATGACATGAAATCACAAGGGAGGGCACTGAGGGAATAGCAGTGGCAGAGAGTGTATGAAAACGCCATCACAAAATGCACTACTACAAGTAAACTAGCAAAAAATAGTTTAAATGTTTTTAAAGAAGACCAGTTATTTATTCTCCTTGTTCCTATGAGGAGCATATGACAGCAACCCTTTGATACTGTTTAAAAAGTCTTAATCTCCCAAAGCCTCATCTCATTTCCCACCCTTGTCAATGTTGGGCTCTCAACATCTCTGTTCAACATTCTTTCCCAACTGGGGTAGAACATTTCATAATGTTATCCCAAACTCTCCAGAGTGCTGTAGAAGAATAAGTACGAAATAACACCTGTTTTGCTATGGTAGAGCAATGATAGAAGATCCAGGCTGATTTTAATTTTCCTTAAATGTCTAACTTTGTGATCAGCATTACACAGGACATCCATACCATACCTCTCCCCTAAGGCTCAGGGAACATCACAGAAGATGGGGAAGAAAGAATGTAAGAGCTGGGGAGTAGGGAGAAGGTCTCTGAAACTTTATATTCTGGACATGACATGGCCATTGCACTCATGATTCATAATAAGTTCAGGTACCTCCATAAGATCCAGCCTGTTGACATTCCTGCATGGTGGGGGAGGAGCATGTAAGGCTCTATCCCTAGTGGAAGAGACATTAGCAGTTAATGAATGGTAGAGAAGGGGCAGTCGTTTTTCTTCAGAGGGTGTAGCCACTGGCAAGCTGACCATGATCCAGTAATAATCCCACACCTGTGCACACAAAAGTCAGTAGCTGATGAAAGCAAAAGCAGAGATCCACAGCTAAGCGCTGAGCCAAACTCCTCGAGTCCAGTTGTAGCGAGAGAGGAGGGATGAGCAAAGGGGTCAAGACCATGCTGGGGAAACCCACAGAAACAGCTGACCTGAGCAAGTGGGAGTTTATGGACCCCAGTCTGACAGCTGGGAAACAGCATACGACTGAACCAGGCACCCTGAACGTGGGTGTCAGTTGACAGGCCAGGGCAGTCTATGGGGTCTCTGGCAGTGGAGCCAGTATTTATCCCTAGTGCATGAATGGACTTTGGAAGCACATTCCCCCATGGAGGGATACTTCTCAGTCTAGAGACATGGGGGAGGACCTAGGTCCTGCCCCAAATGATGTGACTGTTTTCAATGATTCGCCATGGAAGGCCTCCCTCACTCTCCCTGGAGAATGGGAAGGGGCGGGAAGGGGGGAGGTTGGTGGGAAGATTGGAGGAAGGGAGGGAGACAGAACTGGGATTGATATGTAAAATAAGATTGTTTCTAATTTAAACTTAAAAAAAATAAATTCAATGGAGTGTTTTAAAGGCACAAAAATAGAAGGCAGATGCACTGGTCCAAATGGGGTGTCAGGCAAATAAGAGAGGGAAGTGTGTATGTATGTGTGTGTGGGGGGGGTGAACTGATGAAGATAAATCGTATGTGTATGGAATTGTCAAAGAACAATTATTTTCAAAGTATCTAAGTTCACTGAAGTCTTTATATATAGAAATACAATATCAACGTAATAAAAAGTTTAAGGTAGACATTTATCTACAAAACCAGTCACTTAAATATCAAGTGAATACTTACCTTAGTTATATATATATATATATATATATACATGTATATAGCATTCCCTATGTCTAAGAAGCTAAAGTCAAAAAAAGCTATGAATGGAGTGCTGCCATTGGCTAACTTAAAAAAAAAAAAAACAACCAAAGAACCTTTGTCTAGCCTGATATAATAGTGACAAATATTTAACATTTAAATGAGAAAAAGTAAGGCCAGCTCTGTAGTCATTGCTCACTGAATGTATTGTCTCTTCACTGTTCAAGGCTGTCTGCAAACAAGTACAAAACTTGCCATCCTGCTTGGGATTAGTCATAGTTTACCCTGAGATGCAGATGAGCTGGCATAATCTGGCTATGCAATTGTGTCTTGTGTTCATTTTAATAAATTTTATTTTTAAAATATGTGTTGGTGAAATGAGAACAACTGCAGGGTAAGAATCAAATCAGCCTTTGTTCCATCAACACACTTGAGCTCAATGGAAAGCTTCCTTGGTTGTAAAATAATTACTGAGAAATAATTCTGTGAAGTTTTGACTGCCAAAACTTAGTAACCTCTAAAATCAAATGAGGTATTTTGTATATTTCAACTCAATTCAACTTATCCAAAACTCTTATGCCTACTGTAAGCATGGGACATTGTATTTTATGACTATTTTTTTAAGTAGAGTTTAAGGACAGTTTTGACTTCTTAAGTAGAGCTGCTAGGTTTGTGAATAAGAAAATTTCCTAGGTTTTCAACTCTAAGGAATGGGCTCTTTTAAAGGCCGATGACTGAAAATTTTGCTAAATGACATTTTCTATGATGTTATTCTGTGGGAAAAAGATAATTGCTATCAGAAGGACAATAGCAAATACTTAATAATTTAGAATTGATGGAAGCACAGAATATATTCAGTTTGTAATGCATGCTGGAGTTTCTTAGCCTAATTTGCAAGTGAGAAAGGTGATGTCTCAAAAGGTAAGTTAAATAACTATATTTCATTTGTTTGGATTTGCAACCACACTTTCTAGCTTCCCAGAACATTGTGGCCCATGGCTGTATCTCAACACCATCATTCCTTTTAGTTTTGTGTTTTCCATCATGAAAAATATCATTTTGTTTAGGGACAGAAGCAAATACATCTTCTCATTGACTAAAGTCAAATTCCCACCTGAATAACTTACTTCCTTATCACTGTGACCAGACTGTCTCACAGACACAATTTAAGGGGGAAAGATTTATTTTAGCTCAAGACAGAGTAGGGAAGACACAGCCTAGAAGCGAGTCTGTGACACTGACAGCACCTTCAGGGCCCATGACTAGTGACCTGCTTCCTCTGGTCTGACTGACTCATTCCTCATCTCGGAAAGGTTGACAGCCTCTGAAAATAACCCTACCAACTGGAAAGCAGACATTCAAAATGTGCCTACAAGGATATTTGAGATTCAAACCATAGCACTACTGGATGTTAAAAAGTCAGATTTAGCTGGTTTCTTGTAACTTGAATGGAAGATTCCGCTGCCATTTCATTCTTACTAACCTAGCTTTCCTCCTCAGTTCTCCCTAAGATGTTACAGGTTAGCAGCTCATAGCATCTAGAGCAGTGGTTCTCAACCTGTAGGTCAAGATCCCTTCAGGGTTAAGCACCCCTTTCATAGAGGTTGTTAAGACCATCAGAAAACACTGATATTTATATTACAATTCATAACAGTAGCAAAATTACAGTCATGAAGTATTAATGAAAATAATTTTATAATTGGGGTCACCACAACACAAGGAACTGTATTAAAGGGTGGCAGCATTAGGCGTGTTGAAAGACACTGCTCCCTCGCTTCCTCACTTGCCATGAGAAGCTGGGCAAATGCCACTGTTAGCTCCAAGTCAACCTGTGAAATTGAATTTTTATGATAGAAGTTGTTAGTCTTTAGCATGGCTGAGCAGGACATGAACGGATTAAGTAAACTTTTTTTGTTTGTTTGTTTGCTTTTTGGTTTTTCGAGACAGGGTTTCTCTGTATTGTTTTGGAGGCTGTCCTGGAACTCTCGCTGTAGACCAGGCTGGCCTTGAACTCACAGAGATCTGCCTGCTTCTGCCTCCCGAATGCTGGGATTAAAGATGTGCACCACCAACACCCGGCCTTTTTGTTTGTTTGTTTAAATGTGTAGCCCAGGATGGCCTAGAACTCATAATCATCCTGCTTCTGCCTCCTTCAGCAAATCCTACCAGTGTGTGCCACCACAACTGGCTAACTGTTCCATTCCTAACATTTTCCAGATCCTAACTACACCTAATTTCTCTGCCTTCTCTGGAATACAGATAAATCATGATAAATGCATCAAGAATGAATTAAGACACTTGTTGAAACATGACTGTATTTTATTGGTGAAAGAGAAAATATAAGATGTCATGGTCATTACTTGCATGAAACAGAACAAAGGAAGTCAGTTACACTCTAACGTTTTTCTCCAGAATTTTTTTTCTTTTTCCCCACAGATACCTATTACTTAATTTTGCTAGGGTTGGTCTTTTTTGCTAAATTTTAGGCAGGTGTAATGAGAAGCGATATAATCGAGTCTGTTTTTAAATTCAGCCTCTGACAGTTGGGCAGAGACCTACCATAGACTTCTGAGCAACACCTCTTACCTCTCTCCACTTTCCCTTCCAAGGATTGATCTCAGAGTGATGGGTAGTTGAGGGGAAAATATGTCCCTGGATGTTTGTCTCTACCGAAGTTTTAATTACATTTTTGTAACCTATAGGACTACCAAGAAGCCTCCAACTTGGAACAATTTGTGACTCGGTTTTTGTTGAAGGAGACTTTAAACCAATTGCAGTCTCTTCAGAACTCTCTGGAATGTGCCATGGAAACTACTGAGGAGCAAACTCGTCAAGAAAGGCAACTAATGTTTTCTATATCTCTGATTGTGTTATACTTTTTTATTTCTATTCCCTCATACGTTACATCCTGACTGCAACCTCCCTTCCCTCCGTCCCTTCCAGTTCCCTTCCCTCTTCCCCCTAATCCACCTCTTCTTTCTCCTCAAAAAACAAAAAAAAAAAAAAAGAGCAGGTCTCCTAGTGATGTCAGCTGAACACAGCACACCAAAACACAATAAGACTAGGCACAAACCCTCATATCAAGGCTGGATGAGACAATCCAGTAGAAGAAAAATGGTGCCGAGAGCAGGTAAAAGAGTCAGAGATGCCCCCACTCCCACCGTTAGGATTCCCACAAGAACACTGAGCTATACAACCATCACATACACAGAGAGAACCTAGTGCAGATCCATGCAGACTTCCTAATTGTCCCTTCAGCCTCTGTGAGCTCCTATGAGCCCTGCTTAGTTGATTCTTTGGACCATGTTCTTAGGGTGTCCTCAAGCCCACTGGCTTCTACAAGCCTTCCTTCCCCCTCTTCTAAGAGGTTCCTCTAGCTCCACCTAGTGTTTGGATGTTGCGCTTATTGGAAAGGCAGTTGAGGGATTATTGAGCTTATTCTAGAGAAAAGTAATTACATGAATTAGTAGATTTTAAGGCAATGCCAAGGACCTCTCTAAGGTATTTTCTTTGGTAAAAAAAAAACTCATCTTTTATTACGTTGTCTGTCATGAACTGAACACATGTGAATTGAGAATTTAGTAGGTAGAGAAGAATTTAAAAGACAATATAGATTTAATATATATTTAACAAGATATTAATCCTTAAGGAGCTAAAACCTATTGCATACTAAAACATAGTTACCAAAACTAAACCACAAGATAAATGAAGAGAAAGTGAAGTAACATGTAAATGGATTTCTGAAGAGTGGAATACTAAATACGGCAGAGTGGAATTTAAAGCCATGGCCTAATACTCAAAATTAGTATAATTTGAAAATGTGGCAATGATCAGAAAGTCCTTAATACAGCAAATGATCTTGGTTATATTGGAAAGACTTGGCATTAATTAAGCAAGCCGGATTATTTTTAAAACGGAGAAAAATGAGTGGTGAGAGAAATTTAAAAGCTAATGCTACCAGAGTGTATCACTAAGTAGAAAATTAACAACATAATAAAGGCACTTGTGCTGGTGAGAAGACTGTATTATAAGCAGGTGAGGTGATGTCAGAATAATTCAAACATTTGGTACGTTACCGAATTGACATTGTTGGTGCCTTCCAAAATGAACAAGGTCAAAACTCTTGCTGTTCTGACATACCCTGGTTAATACATCACTTTAAGCCTCTAGATATGCCTTATGTAATATTCACATCTTGGGACTGTGCAGTAAGGTTTTTGAATGGGGTGCTAATAACTTATTCTGTAAAGAGTCATTTTTCTAAATAAATTAATGGATATATGATAATCAAGACATCTGCAGAATGGTGTGGGATGTTCTGCCATGTGTACAGTGTCAGATGAATGAGCACTGACAAGTTCCAGCAAAGAAATGCCTATAACTTCAGAATACAGTGAGCCTGTGTAGATGATAGACTTGGGGGTGCAGCAGATGAACACCGGAATGTATCCTTCGATGGATCCGTGCACCCTTCTTCACACTATACTTTCTTTTCACTGTGTTGAGTGATTCCATAAAAAATAGCAAGACATAGAAATTCACTTCAGGAAATCAACAAACTACCTTCTCCAGTTTTAGAAGATAACTGAATGTCTTAAAGCATGATGAAATTGATGTCATGTTCTTCGTGAGAAAATGATGGTCCTTGCTGTTTCTTTGGTTTGGCTCTCATGGGTTTAAACTCTTTCCTTTTACAACCAATCATTTGCCACCTGAGGAGACTTAGAAAAGCCTCAACATTGCCTCTACACCTTCATTCTCCAGGTTCCCTTTTTCCCCCTCTATAGTGAATACCTACAAACATAGGCCACATACAGCAAATGCTTAGTGAACAACTATTTTGTGTTAGGCTTGCTTTCAACTTGTGCTTGTAACCAAAAGCTATATAGCATCTGTGTTTAATAAGAAGTAACAAAGTCGTTCAGAGTTTAAGAAAGATAGAAGACAGCAAAGAATTGATGAACCTTTTACTTGTAGATCTAAGCTCCCAAACTGCTTGAGTAATGGAACTATCACAGGTCTCTTGTCTTGTGTAGAGTGCTGTGGTGTGGAATGTGACTGAAGCATCCGAGGATGCCCAGGTCCCACCACATTCTGAGACAATCTCAGGAGTTTTTGAATAGATTAATTTTTTAAATAAGTAGAAAAAGTACACCAGGATGGGTTGGCTTGTGCCCATGATACCCAGGTTCCTTCTGGTACCTCAGCAGGAAGCATTCATAAGCCCTAACCTAGAAGACTGCTTCCTCTCCTACCTGCACCACCAAAGGGCAACATGAGCAGAGACCCCAGGACCAGTACCAGTGACAGAACTGTAGTAAGACAAAGACTGACCTGTTCCAAGATATCTATCAAAACAGTAATGGAAAAGTTTCCTAGATTGAGGATCCTTGAACTGGATCATGGAAGGACTTCAAGAGGCAGATTAATATTCTCTACTGTGCTCTGTCCCACCCCATGTTGGATACCTGTCATCTGACTAGCTTTTCTAAGCTTGTTTCCTCACTCCACAATTCTTTACTGATAAAGCCTACATGCAGAACAGGCTCTCACATTCCACATCCCTACCAAGTGTTCTACTTATGCCTTGTGTTCCCACTCAGCCAACTCAGCTTTGGACTTACTCACCCTCTCCATTAGTCTTTGCCTTTCTAGATAGCAGGGTCTTCATTTCTCCCCTTTTCATGCTGTATAAGTGGAACTGAATGAATGGAAGTGAACCCTGTGGAAGAGCAGAACATTAGGGACAGTGAGGAGGGCAGTTCATCTGCTCACTGGAAGGTCTTAAAAGCTACACAGATGCATTGGAAGTTAATTCTATCATAGGCTGCTGTTAGTGATTATAAAAGAGCAATCTAATGACACCAATGAAAGGAAAGGAAAATTTGCCTTGCAACTGTATATAGTACGTATTTGAGGAATATAATAAGTGGGGGGAGAAGCCAAAACAAGGTTTATAAGGCTCCTCCATTTTAATATCACAAAGGAGGATTCCATGGTACCCTACAAAGTCAAGAGTTGTAAGCTGCAGGTTTCATTAAAATTCCCTGGGTCATAATTATTTTCTTCCCCATTGGCATCAACATTCCTTTAGAATTTAACGGTTATGAAATCAAGGGACACAGACTTGTTAGGAGGAGGGAATCCAGAGAACATCTCCTCCTTCTAGCAGCCCCAGGCAGAATCACACAGCATCGTTCATCCTGCAATAATGAGTCAGACATGCTGGGCTGGGCATAATGTCTGTGCCCATTCATGTGGAAACAGCAGTTTCAGAGAGGAAGATAAGCACAGCTGGAATGTCACTGAGGTGAGATCCTCAGATGGCATAAAATGTGTCTGCTCTGGCTAAGTGGGAGCCACTTTAATTCCCTGTCTTTCAAAAGAACTTAATAGCCAGTGGCTAGAATAATCATTATGTGATGTGGAAAGCTTCCCTCGAGGGGACCCCATTCTATTGCATAACCCTCCTCTTCACAATCTACATTTCCTGAGCACAGTTCAATTACACGTGGATTTCCTTTGTATAATGGGATCTCTGAGTTTGATCTGTTTTCCAAGTTTCTTTGGTAGACAGGGATACAAATGAGTCCCCCAGGCTTGGAAGTCTTTTTTTTTTCTTTTTACCTTTTGAACGTTGTCTATTATAGAAGAATGGAAAGGCTTTCATTTCACCAACAGGTGATTATAAATCCTCCTGTGACTTACGATCAGAGAAAAGTGGCACTGATTGCCTGTGTCACCAAAATTTGGGGCTAATGCTGTGTGAGAATCCATATGATAATTAAATACTGCAGACTAGATATATGCGGATTTTTGTTGTTGTTCTTTGCCTACTCTTTCAAAATTGTCATTTAAAATGCCTCGATAAAATAGTCATTGACACACAAACAGTGGAGGGAACAGACCCCACCGCAAAGCCAACCCAGAAATTAGAAACTGGAAATGTGAAAAGAAGGATGTAGAATGATTTTAAAAGCTCCATGGAAGCAGCTCACACAGCTTGTGTGAGAGGGAGCTGTGTTCACAGTAGAGAACATGAAGAACCGCGGGGTGCTGGAGAATGGATAGAGCCACGCAGAACTCACCGTGGGGTGAAAGACAGACTAATGTATTGGGGAAATCCCCACCAGGGATTTTTAGGGACATCCCCTTGCCAGTCTTGAGAACCCGAGAGGTAAACAAGGGTATACACAGCACAATGGGGGTGGGGTACAAAGTTGAAGATGAGACACCAAATGAAGGCCTTCATCCTGACTAGTGCACCCGAAACCCCCTTTGTATCCCATGTTTCCAGATCACTGACAACAGGGCTCAAAGTGTCCAGTTATGGGACACTGGAGTGGAAGATCTGATTAATCTAAGATAGGGTCCTGGACAGACCTATGATTAGACTTAGAGACTCCAATTGGAAGGCATGACTTGGCTAATGTGCAGGGCACACAAAAATGCCAACCTGCCTCGTGAGTCCTTCCCTGGAAGGGAGAGGGAGGGGAGGAGCAATAGAAAGAGTAAAGCAAACACAAACCAAAACTAGAAGACACAGAAACTGTTCTGGAGTTTGAGACCACCAGGGAAAGACTCGATTCAGATTATAATTAGCCAGATTTATTAAAACTGCTGGCAGGGCCACACAGTCTTTAGTCCAAGTCAGAAACAAGCAGTGCAAAGGCACGGGGAGGAAGGAATTTTTCTTTCCCCTTTTTTCTTTTATTTGTCCCCCTTTTTCGGGATAGGGTTTTTCTGTGTAACAGTTCTGGATGTCCTGTAACTCACTCTGTAGACCAGGCTGGCCTGGAACTTTACCATCCTCCTGCCTCTGCCTCCCAAATGTTGGGA